GATCTCAAATTTTAACTTTCTATTTTCGAAGAGTATACATAGGAAATTCTTTAATATAAGGTACCCGAGGTACTTTATATTGTATTCAATTATTTTACATTAACAGAATATCTTAAATTTAGTCTTCCTATTTTCAAACGGGATGCGTATAAGATTTCCTAATGTAAGATGCGACAATTACTATGTATCAACTTTTAACTGACAATTACTATGTATTAATTTGTATTATACATTGACAATAAAATATATTTAATCTGACCTTCCTCATTTCGAATGAAGTATATAAGAAATTCCTTAACATAAGATACGCGAATTACTTCATATCATTTTCAATTATTTTTTACATTAACAATAAAAGATCTGAAGTTTGAACTTTTTATCTTCGAATGGACTGCGTAAGAAATTCCTTAATTTAAGATACACGAGCTATCTCATCCGTGGCACCACAAAAAGAAAATTCCAACGCGAGATACATCGAGCACAGTATCATACAAGGAAAAGACAATGATCAGGAGATATCTTATCTTCGGTAGTGAAAGAAAGAAGCCTTGCATTATTCTGCAAAATATACATTTATTCCTTAAATGATAGGAAAAATTTAGGTTTATAAACACATACACACATGGAATATTATGGATTTACATACAGTTATATACAGTGGAGGAATCATCACGACTTATTATTAGTCACTTATTCTAATCAGCTCTATTGCTTGGAGAATTGTTACAGTCTAAGATTTTATCGGTATTTGTTTGTCTCTCGCTTGAAATGACTCAACGCGAACTATGTTTATCTCTCTACATTTGTTTTCCTTCCATTCCGTACCGTTCGTGAAAAAAACATTTTATTTTGTCAGAGCAATACGTGCGTGTATCTATAAAGACGGCAGCCCGAATAAAAATAATAACCAAATATATACATGTATTCTGCGAATATCTAATTTTGATATTTGTTATACATTCACCTGAATAAATAATAATCAATAATGTGTATTTTGCTAAATACATTTAATAAAATTTTATTGAAAAATCAAAATGAGTTATTTTTCATTCTATGTTTTAACAATTATATGTTTTAACTATGTTTTAACAATAAATATTATAGAAAACATGAAAAATCTAATCGATAAAAATATTGAAATCACTGCCGTTAATCTCTCTATTGTTTTCTGTTAAGAACTTCATTTAATTCTGTCTTGTATTCCAGTATTCACTTGATGTCTACAACTGTCTTGATGTGTGTAAGAATAAATCATTGAGGCATTAACAATTCTCACTGGATTGTAATTACTGGTAGAATCTTCATGCCTACCTCATAATCAACAATTGATTCGTGATTAATTTAAGAAGGAAAATAATTAATCCTTGAGCAGTATTTAAAAATCAAATAGCTACTCGAAACGTTAGTATGAACATTCAGCAAGTACATATCGTCTCATACTATAATGATAATACTCAATGTGTCTGCGAAGGTTACATAAAGTAAGTTCCCGTTTGTTGCAATATTTACATCTTAACTGTTGCTTTGCATGGTCAATCTGATGAGTACGCAAGACTCGTGTATTATAAAATAGTTTCGTGCAGAACATGCACTCGTAAATTTTTGGTACGACGAATACATGTCTCTCGTTTTCGTTATTTGTTTTGTTTTCCTGTTGTATTTCGAGTATTTGTTGTGGTCGTATTCCAAGTTGTTCTGCCGTCTCCAGTGTCTCCGGTGTCTCCGACAGATCAACCAAAACCCAGTCCCACGATTCGTGGATGGACGGCTCCGAACTGGTGGATTCCGTAGGGGATGGCACCGGTTTATCGAACTCCGTGGAGTCCGAGTATTCTAACTCCATGTCCAAATCCTCAACTGATGTGTCGAGATCCCCCAATGTTGACAACGCGGACTCATCATCGAAAACTGCTAACATCTGTAACATTTTACATATTCGTTCTAAAATCTAAAAAAGCTCACGATTTCGTATTTCAAATAATTTCAAAGAGCAGAAATAATATAAATCTCATTTCTACCGTAAAAAAATATATTTTTATATATTCGTGATAAATTCTACAGAACTTAAGGATTTCATAATTTTAATAATTTCACGTTCGAATTTTTGACAGGAAGTATCTATTATAATTCTTATTTCTAACGCAAAAGAATATAATAGCTTCTCTTTAAAGTTTACTTGTAAAAATACTGTCAGATTCTGTTTTCTGTTATGTTCATAATTCTGAATATTATAGATGATTTTAAGAAGAAACGCTTTCTGAGAATTGCCAAATTTATTCTATTTACTACATTTTGATTGTAAAAATTACACATACCTCATAATCAGCAGCAGATAATCCATTATTTGCCATGATTGATTCCAATAGTAGATCACGGTCACAACACAAATATTATCGAACACGTAAAAATTTGACTTAAAATCGGTACGATAGACCGGGAAAGGTAAGTCTTAATACAATATGGCGAGATGGGCCACCCGAGGCCGTAGACATAGACCGTCAACTAAGAAGTGACGAGTGCTAGCAAACATGTCATATTTAAGAAATGAGCAACCCCTAATTGCAGTGGTGGGGGTGTATACCTGCCAAATTTCAAGAAGAGTGGTACCACGGATTGGCCATTTCATTGGTCATTGGCAGCTTCTGAACGTGATTGGTAGATTCATGAAATCCACGTTTTCATAGAATTTCCATTTTTGCCTCGGTTAACGTATACCATTGAAATTGATAAAGGAATCGGTGTTCCGGATAAATAAATTTTCTCAGCATTTGACAAGAAGATCTTGTTAAATGAGAATTGTTTAGCTTCTAAATTTTTATATAAATTTCATTAAATATTCAATAAATTCTCCTTTTCTGATATATTTTTATAATTATTTTTCTAATATATTCATATACATTATATTCTAATATGTTCTTACTTTCAACTATCATAAGTTATTATTATTTAGTTTGTAATCTACTTTCTACACAACTTGTAATTGACCCTGTCACCTTAATCGCGCGTTATTGTTTCACTTCAATGTGATCTCTAATGCCAGCACCCTTGCTGCTAATCTGATATTGGCGCAATGTACATGGTGAACGTCGTAATTAAAAACGTAATTAAAACACGCGAACGTATCGTAACTTTTGTATAATGTTAGATTTATCAAAACCCACCCGTTGAATAAATAAATAATTAAATAAATAATTGACAAGTACCGAGATAAGACATAATATCGCCTCTGATTATACTGCATATAATAATCAGAAAAGATTTCCATAGAATATCCATCTTTCATATTCCATACTGAATATCTATTTAACCAGAGATCCTCAACTCAAAAATTGTAATCTCTGTAGGAGACACACTTGTGTATTTACCGTCTGAAACTTAGAATTTGGGAAGATAGTATGATAATCACAAAGAATTCTTACAATCACAAAGAATTCTTTAAATTCTCCCTTGTTTCATTGTCTTATTTACATATGATTCCAATATTAGTCAGCATCAATCTAAGTATTGAGAATTCCATGATATTTACATGTATTTCAATATTACATTTCAATTCCAATTTAATAGAAATGCATGTAATAACAACTGCGAAAATAATAATCAACCGCTGAAAACATCGATCTGTCAGATCGCGAGGCCGCCGGCCTAACGACATGGATTTTTTATTAATAACGTTATTAACAACGTGCAAATTATATGAGAAGTGGCCGTATAAGCGAATTCTCGAATTTTCATGCTGTACTCGATTGGGAAATGGGTAAGTAAGCCATTGAACTGAGGAGGAACTGAAGACGAAGCTTGGGTTTCGGACGCCCGTCGCAGCTAAGAAAGTACAAGTATTATCCTGGATCGTTCCTCAGAGGAGAGAGATCCTCTAAACGACGAACTAAAAATAAAATATAGTGGATGTCAGTTAGGCGGTTGTAAATACTGGGATAAAGTTCGCGTATCCCTTCTTATAGAGAGGAAATAACGGTCGAACTAATCACCACCGCTCATTCTCCTAAAGTAGAAATATTTCGTTAGCGAAAAGTATAGAGGTTTAACATCATTCTTCCTATATAGGAGAGAATTGCTGGAATATTCGCCGATTGTCTCGAGAAAAGAAGTATAAGATTATTCCTGACGCTTCTGTAGAATAAAATTCCATCCGAAAGCGTGGCGGAGAAAATTCTGATTGCAAAAATTCCAATGTGTCGTTGAAAAGCTGCTAATATGAACAAATTATTATTTTTATCCCCAGAAACTTTGTCTTCCTTGTTTCCGAATTCGAAACCTCCCTACAATGTAAAATATCGTGCTTGTAACTCTAATAGCTTTCGTGAAATAATATTCCAGAGTCGAATTGAAAAATACAAACACAGAAATGCATATGAAATATCTAATTATGACAGCTTTCGGAAACGATATTGCAAAGTGAAATTGTTACTTTCGATCACGGTCTACTTTATTACGTACGTTGAAAGATAAACAGAGGACCGTGTAAGTAGAGGAGAAACAAAAAGGGGATTGAGCACCGATCGTTTTTCACGGAGGACGCGACACGCGGAGATCTGCATATTGCGGCTATATTTTAAATAGCGGCGCGCATCCTACTATGATGTTGACAGATTTGCACCGAGGTGCAGTCGACGCGGAGAGTGTTTTTCCTCCTTGAAAAAAAGAGGAAGTCACCGAGAACACCGGCAATCAGCCCTTCCTCGCTGACTCCTCGCCATGTTTCATCGATACGATCTGAGGCGAGAATACACTGTATGAATGATTAACGAGGATATTTTACTGAATCGACACGACCAAATTTCCCGTCGCGCGCCGCGTGTAAAAAAATACTTCAATATTGTAAGTACATCTACGCTGGACAACGCTACACGATAAGAATATTTATTCAAATAATTTTATCGTTCTCTTGAATCGTTGATTGGAACTGTTTTAATTAACAGATCTTCACTACGATAAACCGTTGACTCTGAGAATGCTTTCATTCAGTACTGTAAGTTCAACGTGATCTTATTGATCTCAGATACTAAACGAGTTCTTGAAATGTTTCGCGCATGTTACGAGACACCGTGTATAATGTCTACAAAATGTCGAGATTAACCGACAGTATGCCGGTTTAAATATTCTGCGTGCAGAGCGCTTAAGTCAGCCGCGGTGCAAGTAACCGATCCCTCTCTACCGTACGAATATAATTTGCATATCAGATTATCGATCGGAGTAAATCATTGGAGGTCGCCGGGCCGGTAGGCCTGCCGGAAGGGAAGCCGATATCCCTTGATAATATTGATTCCTGATTGTTCTTTCTTTAATTACATCATTCGTCTCATGTCGTCGGGGAAATAAACCGTAATCAGTGGGTGAAGTTCGTACGAATCTCAGGAAACATCTTATTGTTAGGAAGAAAAATTTATTTTGTCTAACAGTTCAAAGAATCGTCTTACGAGATATTAGCATGTTGCATTAATTATCGTTAGACTGCGAATGTTTATGCAAATTCCTGTTTTCAGAAATAAAATTAAACAACAAAAGTGAATACAAACATTTGGTTTCTCCTCTAAAAGTTATCGGAGGTTTCGAGATTGGGGAGGCAAGGAAGACAAAGGTTTTGGGGATAAAAATGTTAATTTACTCATATTAGCAGTTTTTCAAGGACAAATGGCAATTTGGAATAACTGCAAACACGACCAAGGTTAAAGCTCCGTAACGAAGGAGCACCGTTCGTTTGACACGGAAAATTTCTTGGAGAACGACCGGTAGTTAGGCTGACCGTTCTCTTTTCTCCACGAGAAAGGGGCTTGCGAATCTTCACCTAGCATCCATAGGCGTCATTCCATAGGCGTCCGGGTGACTTTCCCTGCGATTGATGATTTTCGTAGCCATTACAGCATAAATAATTCGATAATATTTCACATAACAATATTATGAATTTTTCATCTTGTTCGATCTCAAATGTTCCAATTTTACGATACTTGCCCTGTTATTTTTGCGCGTTTCGGGACGAACACTTGGAAATTCCTATGGCACGCGGTTATTGGGTCATCTTTAGCCACGAAAATCAAGACCAGACAGGCCGACGCAAACATCCTCGTAAATCTTCCGTTCGTTGTTGCAGCTTTAAAAATGTCAGTGTCGCTCGACAGTTTATCGTTCGCACCCCATTTACACCAATCTGGTGTAAGCTCGCGAGTTCAGCTGGCCATAAATTTAGTACAAGTGAATCGTAAAAACAAAAGTCTGTGCCTACGGAATTGGTGTCATTAAAGAGAGTATTTCCCAAATATAATGAGATGCAGCAGGGATCGTTTAAAATTTATCTGGGTCGAGTTTTATGGTTGGCGACGGACGTCGCAATGGTGCGCGGCGAACTGTCCATACCAGGTATAAGTAACGACGCATTATAAACCTAATCCTTCGTGAGGCCTCCTAATAATGAGTAAGAACTCTGTTTTGCTCACCAACAGCTACCTAACTCCGCTACGCCGGGACGTAAGTATTTTATTGCCTTTTTGTACTTCAGCGAACGCCGGCAGAATCGAGGAAGTGTATAAAATACGTGCAGTAAAATTTATTGCAATCCGGTATTTATTGGATCGGTAATACTTTGGAAATACCCAAGAGTTGATCCTGTACCCTTCAAAACAAACTTTTTAGCTACAATGATTAATATATTGAAGTTGACAAAAGTTGGGACAGGAATTTTCGATAAAATTAATCCGATATAGTGAAGAAGTATTCGTTCGTGGTAGACGTGGTGCTGGCGATTCGGATTCGGTTGTCAAAAATCAAATTTCATGTCAATTTCTCGCGGTTTTATGTTCTGTAGATAAACATAGAATACATAAATCATGGGTAGTTCCTTCTACTGTGATTTTGGAGGACGCGTGGCAGTAACGAGCCTGTTTTTCGAAAATGAAGCCTGACCTACAGTCGTAAACTTTCGAAATCCTTACCATGATTAATTAGTGATTAAAGGGGTTAAATACCGGTTTAGGACATATTTCTTTTAAATTTATCATAAGGATCGACAAAACTAGACGAAGTACAAAATTCTAGTCGTAATAAATTGAAACGGAAGTTAAGAGTCCCTACAGCTTAGTATAGTTAGCACGTTCCATTAGTGCCGCAACTAAGGCGTACGCCACTGGCGCATCTGGGTTTGAGAAGCAAAACAAAGGATACCGACCCGATTCAGAGGATCGTCACTTTGGCCGGTATTCAGGGTCGCTGTTTATTCTTAAGATCGTCTTAAGAATTTACTATCCCTGTCTATCCCATATTTCCAGTCCCTGTCTACCCCATATTTCCTGTCCCTGTCTTGTACAGGGAACATGGACTTAAGCAAATGCTTAAGACGATCTTAAGAATAACCAACGACTCTGAATACCGGCCGCTGTCCCCATTATGGCATCACGAGAGGGCAACCGAGACAAGTTACTGGTGGTGGAGATGTGGGATACGATGGGATACGATTTTCTGGCAGCCCTGGTTACGGCAGCGTTGAGATAATTTTTCCCGCACGGCTCGCTTCCCCTGTTTTTCGCCCGTATTTCGATCCCCACTACTATTCTCCTCATGCGCCTTCGCTGACTATGCCTAGCATACCCCCGTCAAGTACCAGTCCCCACCATGGTCGCGTCGTCCCCACTTTCCGGCCGAGGGAAAAATTATCTCAACGCTGGGTTACGGGTGTGGCGCAAGTTAGACACTTGC